CTTGTACTCCAAGTCTCCTCATTTTGTATAGCTGAGGATATGACTTGCCCTGTGTACTATATATACTTGTGCATATGCACCTATCAATACATTGAGAGTTGCATCCTATTCCTCTACATGCCAGACACATAACAAAAAATTCAGCAACAAAAAGATCATAAGTTTGAAAATTTTGATGAGACATTGCTAAATCTTATCCCGATGAGTCACAACCCATGTGAAAGAGAGACCCATATACTCACACCAGCGCAACATGGGAGGCAACGAGAAAAACGGCCACCAGAGTGATGAGAAAACCGATAAATAACACCAGCACAACACAAGGCACATGCATGTGAACAAAACAAATTTACACGAAACAAATATGTTTGACATAGCTAAAAATAATCTAGATAACTATTAGCAAATCCGAAAATATAAAATAAAGATAAAGATATTTAAAATAAAAGTAAAAAACAAAACAAAAATCATGATGTAGAAAAAATAAAAAATAAAAAATAAAAAAAGAAATGAAAAAACTGAAGAAGACAAATAGAAAAGCGAAAAAAAATCATTTGGATGTGTATGTGCTACTGACCCATTTGATGTATATTCACCATCCATAGATTTTTTTTTAAAAAAAAGAAACAAACAACGTAAGCATGTAGCTTAGGAAACAGCACATCCCCTCGTTAGAAAAAAAAACACCCAGTCCATGCAGAAGCTGAACAACTCGAAGGCCAACAATCACGAAAACGAAAACGTAGGATATGAGCACCGGATGACGCAAATCCTAAAGCCCAGCAAGCACGTTGAAACAGGTACACATGCAACACACATGAATCTTGTCAAATAAATCATGTGGTAGACGAACTTAGAGTTCATGTAGATGTTAATTAGCAAATCTCAAAGCAAAAAACAAAAATCGTGGTGCTTGAATCCACTGGCTAGAAATGTAGATGTGAGGTACTATATTGCATCTACTCCCTTCGTTCGGAATTACTTGTCTCGGATATGAATTTATCTAGAATTAAAATACATCTAGATACATTCATTTCTGTGACAAATTCCGAACGGACGGAGTAGATGTGAAATAGCAATCCTGTTTGAATTAACCGAGACTTTGAGTAAATCTGAGCTAACTCCACTTATTGGGCGGCAAAAAATCCAGTCGACCTCAGTTCGTTACCCGTTAAGACGGTGAGCGGTAGCCATGCTCATCGCGGTGACCCCAACCTACTTCCAACCATAAGTATCGATCCCCATCCAACGCATTCTTGCATAGAGCCAACCACGCCTAGGCTGCTCCTTCTCTCAGGTAGCGAGTCAGTGACGCACGCTCTCCGTGCCACACCACGACCGCACCGCTTAGCTACCCAAAAGACCGGCGTCCGTCCGGCAATGGAGTCGCGGGGGAAGCCCGGGTTCAGCGGCGCGGGCAGCCTGTCCGGCAGCCGGAGGAGCTACATGGGAGCGGCGGCGGCTGCGGCGCCCAGCAAGCCGGCGGTGGACGGGTGCGGCGTGGCGCTGCGCGTGTTCATCCTGGCGGCGACGCTGGTCGCCGCCGTGGTGATGGGCCTGGACCGGCAGACGGCCACCGTGCAGGTCACCATCGCCGACACGCTGCCGCCGCTGCAGGTCCCCGTCACGGCCAAGTGGTCCTACTCCTCCGCCTTCGTGTAAGCGCTCGCTCCCGTACCTGATTCTTCCCTCTTCCTGGCCGCCAGCACTACATTTAGTCACACATTCACACCACACCATCGTTCTCCAGTGAACAGCTCTTCTAGATTTGTTTCTTCCCTGTGGGATTTCCTTCCGCTTCCTTTAATCTGTTGTTTGTTCGGCGGATATCGATCGGACGTTCATGATGCAAGTACGTCCGCAGCAGTAGTACGTACACATTTGTACCTATCTGGCACAAAGATACAAGATCGACGCCGCGTACGTTTGCGAAATGGGCCAGCCAAGAAGCACATGCAGGCAACCGATTAAATGTTGTCATTTTCATTAATTAGGAAAGTTTGCTGCACTGGAGTAGCATTACTGTAGTCCAGTCAAGGCCAACAAATGCATGCCATTTCGGCCGAAAGCAGCTCTATACCTAGCAGCGTTTGCCGTTCCAGACACAGCAAATTTCAGTTTCATCAGTTAGGCAAAAGCGCTTCTACACTACACACTTTCACCGTCTCCTCCTTGTTTCCGTAAGAATTTCTCCGGGTGAGAGGGATCGACGGTCCGCAGGAGATGCAGTGTCGTGCGTGTCCGTCCAGCTGATTCCTACCGCTCACTGCTCGACCGAACCTTTAGTTTCCACGTGCAAACAAGACATTCTCTTTCTCCTACCTAGAAAGAACCTTTGAAGTGCACCGTAGACAAGGATGCCGCAACCAATTAATGGCTAACCTGAATGCTTCGCTCGAGGCCTAAGGGCCGATAGCTTTTGTGCCCATCAAGAACGCGGTGCAAGTAATGCCCACGTCGATCTTTCTGGTGGTGGTCGGGAAGAAATTGTAAGATGATTTCCGCTTTGTCCACGTCGTCCAGAAACGCATGAATCTTCAGCGGGCCGCGTACGTGGCTGGCTGGCTGGCCCGACCGATCGGCCGATCCGCGCGGCATTATTGCGGAAAGAGATGGATGGATAATCGGATGGGTGCATGCATTAAGCCCCAGCTCATCCGTCACATCCACGGTGGGGCAGACGTGCTCGTCCTGATGGATGTGCTCCGGCCCGAAGCTAGCAGCCGCCAAGCGATTCGGCCTTTTACAAAAGGCGGAGATATGTGGGATACGGATAGAGATTTCCGAAAGGATTGTCGTGATCATGCTTGTCGAGATCGATTCTTTTCGGCCAGAGACGTGTCCGCTTGTTTCAGAGTTCATGGAGATGAAACAGCAGCAGTATACATATGTGGTGTTTTTCTTTGGGTGTGTCTAGGGCACATCTAGATGTGCTCTCGTTATTACGCATCTAAGTGAGTGAATCATGCATAAAAGAGGAAAAGAAAAAAGAAAAAGAAAATATCCACACTAATTTCAATGTAAGATCAATGACATAGGACTTAGATGTGCAATACTTATGACACATCTAGATGTGTTTCAGCAAAACTGTTTTTCTTTTGTCGATAAAAGGGTTGCTTCATAGGCTAGGTTGACGTTGCTTAATTAGTACTCATGGATTAATTCCGGGAAGTTCAACTTTCTCTGCTGCTGATTATTAGAGATGTTGTTCGTACACATTGTGTGCAACTAATTTGAGCAGAACAGACATAGCTATTAAGGACCACTACAAAGGAATTTAAGCACGAAAATGACGTAGATCCCTGATACAGTACGCACATTCAACATCATGAACAGCTAGACGTCCGGACCGGACAGCGCACGTTCAGTACGTGTCATCACCTGCACCGCTCTACGCCCAGGGTGTACGTCGTAGCGTTCCAACTGTATGCACGGCGCTAACACTTGGGCAGCGACATTCGATATATTCTCCTTAAACTTTGTAATAATATTGTTACTGTGTGATGAACCATTGATCCAATGTTAACTAACCAGCAAACATTATATGTGCAGGTACTTCGTGGTGGCGAACGTGATGGCGTGCATCTTCTCGGCGGTGGCGCTGGCGGCATGCCGCAGCCGGAGCGCGGTGGTGCCGCTGATGGTCGGCGACCTGGTGGTGCAGGCGCTGCTGTTCTCGGCGGTGGGAGCGGCCGCGGAGTTCGGCATCCTGGGCGAGCGCGGCAACTCCCACGTGCGCTGGGGCAAGGTGTGCCACGTCTACAGCAGCTTCTGCGAGCGCGCCATGGCGGCCGTCATCGTCTCCCTCATCGCCGCCTTCGCCAACCTCGTCCACCTCATGTTCGCCATCCTAGACGTCCACAAAAACTCCACCTACTACTAGTAACTTAGCTCAGCTGCTGCTGATCCATCATGAACGCATCGGAGATGTCCGATCGATATGCATGCAGATGGTATACCTGATTTCCGTGTGAACTAACGGTCTCGGTCTTAGGCGCGTTGGTTTGATTTAATGGCGGGAGTTGTCGTGCCCATCCATTTTGGCACTGTAATGTTAGCTATTGATACAAATGTATGGAGGATTTTACTCTGAAGTATGAACTAATATCTACTCCTATGTATGGGTCATCTTTGGAGCTGATCTGGCATGAACTAATACTAGCTGAATGCCCGTGCGTTGCCACGAAATAACAAAAAAATACATTGATCAAATAATTGATGCATTTCGGAATTGTATGTCAAATGACAGGGGAGGAGAGAAAAATGATGTACTCCCTCCATAATTAGTACAAAGTTGAGTCATCTATTTTGGAACGAAGGAAGTATTTCAGATTCTATATCAAACGTGATAGCATGTGGTATCCATCCATATAGCAGCACGATTCATTCTTCCGCTTCTTTTATCCTCAACAGTATCGTGTCTCTTTTTTTGAGCATGACATAAAAACTCAGTGGTCTTTCGGTCAAGCATCTTTCTCATTGTCTCCCCCTCCCCCCGCCCCCTCCATTATGTTCATCTGTCCTTGCTCTAGCATTGTCATCATTTCGGAAGTCAGTAGTCTATATACTTGCCATGGATTGGGCACTTCTCTATAAACTGGTCTTCATGTATCACTGGAAATGAACAACGATGTGCCAAAAAATAGTATACAGGCACCAACTCCCCTTGTATGTCCTCACCGTTGGGGTTGGGCCTATGGATAATCAAGGTAAAAAAAAGCTTCAATAATGTGAAACAAGTTCATAGTTGATACTGGCTCCATCAATTATGATGTTATTTTGTAAATTACAAATGCTGCAACATCCTATGATGACATTTTGTTGAATCAAGGGAAGTTTTGCTTCTTGATATACATCAACAAGTATGTCCATGAGTGGCAGGTCCAAGTCCCTCTATTGGTTGAGCCTCTACCAAAAAAGTGAGATGAGTACGAGATAAAAAAGAGGTGCACCAATATCTCATTGGAAGACTCTGTCTAGACAGTGCACATTCTAAGCTCTCCGCAGTCATACTTGCAGACTATTCTTATAAAAAAAATAGTAAGGATGCAAAGATATGATAGAGCACTTCATCTACTAAATATAGTGTTGGCGAGTGACCTAATTCATTCAGAAGCTTAGATCAGTCGGTATGAGTGCAAATGAAACATAAATGAAGGTATTAGAGAAAACAAAATTCATTTTGAAAGTTCTTTATGCTACAATGATATACAGTAGGGAAAATGACAACAGCTATCGTTTACAAACCCTCCCAACAAAGTGAAATCAATAAAAACCAAAGGGATTCTTCTGTTTCACCAAAGATTTGTTTCATGCCTCACGCCAATCTTGCGTGCAAATAGAAAACTCCCTAAGCAAAAACCTGAATTTAGCGAGGGAGAGTACAAGCATTTACTGAAGTAGTGTTTGTTTTAAACTTGGCTATACAAGGAAAAAGTGAAAGCATCTACCATTATAAACCCTTTTATTTAATTCAAATGTCCAATACAAAATAAGAACAAAGAGTTAGAAGTACATCGTTTACACAGTGGTGGAGGGGGCAAAGAGGCCTTTGATCTCATCAACACGAGAACCAAGCGTGAATTAAATCAGCAAGCGACCATTCAACCATCTGCAGTATCTCCATTACTAAGCTTCGTAGCATTTTAAAACAACTACAGCTGCCGGATTAAATTAGAACAGTACAGAGTAACTATCTGTTGCAACAATTTTGTACAAATAAAAGTATGCATGATTGACCTATTATTTTAGAAACAGTATGCTGAACTACTAATTGAGTAGTTGTAATGGACAAACTTTGATCTTTGCTTCTGTAGCTAGAAAGAATGCATATACATACCAATAATGTTACTCTCTCTATTCTGTGTGAAGTCGCAGCAGGAGTACATACATCAGTCGGAGCATGAGTAGATCAGACCATGGAGGGAGCCCCAATGCCCCTGGCTATGTACTGCAACATGATATGTACTTAAAACATGTGTAAACATAACACCAACTGGTTATGCAACCCTCAGATTTTGATCGCTCCTACAAAATTTGTTTAGATTGATAAAAATATATATTCCTGACGCTTCTTGAATTAGAATATACAGATGTTTCCAAATCAAAAAGGGCATGTGATTTTTAGGGAAAAGGTAGGCGTACACAACTTGCTATGTTATTCCAAATATTTTTCAGATATTCCGAACTCTGTGATATGCTTTTCAAAGAAAAATAATTAAAAAGATATTCCATAATGCACAACAGATTTCCAATCTCATAGAGAGAAGTATGTGGAGTGCATAACTCTTGAGGGAAATTAAATATTATTCAAGCTGCAATATACATGAAGAATGAAAATTTGGTCCATACTACTTGGAGGAAAAAAGAAGACGCTAAAATTTTGAATCTACAAAAACTCCATGCATTGTGTGACACTAAAAATGAGAAATAATAACGTATTGAGAACTCCCTGTAGACGGCGTGTAAAAAATCTGCTTGTGATCCTAAATCCTATTAACCAGCTAAGAACTATTCTAAATTGTTAAGCTCATACAACAATCTTCAAAACTTTCCCACTGCTTCTCCTTTGAATGGTTAGGTCTGAGTCCCGCAACGGAGCTTCCAATTTTTTTATTTCCGAGTTATTTTTCCCAGTTTTATTAATCCGGGTGGCTCTTTAGTATTGCTTTAAATTTGTAGTTATTGTTCTGTAACCAGTTATTACGATTAAGCTCATACCAAATGGCCCAACTCATGTCTTGTCACTCTTCAGAGGATAACCTGCAAGGAAGAACATTTCAGTAGATGAAGAAGAGAGTTCATGTTTTGATGGTCCGTATTCTTTGAATACCATAAAAACCTTGGAATCATAACTTAACACAATATATAGCATGACCATGAGAACACAATTTGTCACCATTCTATCTGTCAAACTTTTATGCCACACATTTAGATGCTGACATCTTTCTCCAAAGATAGTAGGTTCAAAAAGTATTTATTGGGACTCTTAGTATCTATTGGTAGTTCCTGCTTGTTTCTAAGTTTCAGCTTTACTATCATACAATATATTAGTAGGTGATTACAATGATTCATATGTTGTTTGATCAGTGCCACACAAATACCACAACACCAATTATTTAAAAGAATTGTATCCACTGTACAATCATGTTTGGACAACTTTAGCAATAAGAACATGTGTTGAACATGTAAAAAAACATATAGGTAAATTCTGAAATTCTAGTATAAGATTAGGTAACCTCGGACTAGATTTATTCAGGTATAAAATGGAAGACAATAAATGGGTATCCCCTTGTGAAACATAACATCATGGGAACAAACTTGCCTTGTGATAGAAGGAAATACTGACATGGTTACATAAAAAAAAGATAACAGAGGTGTACTTGTGTGTGTGTGTGTGTGAGAGAGAAAGAGAGAGAGAGAGAGAGGTCTTTCTCTCCACTCCTCCTTTCACTCCACCTTCATTCTTATGACCATGTGTGAGCCCTTTATCTTTAAAATCTTGTACTTCTACAGAATCCTTGGACCGTTGAAATTCAACCGGAGACCACCCAATCTGAAATGTTTAATGTATATAAGTAACAGGTTGCAGAACTAACAATAGGTTGATAACCACTCCTATATACGTATAACAAATACTGTGTATCACCAAAATATGTATCATTATCAATCGACATAAGCACACTACTGATCAAGCATATATACCTTTAGTGGAAAATTCAGTAATCAATCTAGTCCCCAAGTGCACAACATCAGAGAGCTGCAAAGATAATCAATCTCATCTATGTTCAAACTTCAACGAGATATGCAACACTCCCTAAAAACCGAGGTATTCAACACTACCTTTGAGAAGCAATTTCTCTGTTCATTCCTCGGTGAAGAACCAACCAGCCCACAACCGTCATTGGAGATAGGCAATTCCTCTACCCGTCAAACCCATTGCCACCCCAGAGAAAAAAGGTGGAACATCCAAGAGAAAAAAGCAGGGAAGAGGTCAGGCGTGGCTGCTATGCTCCCGCCGAATCAGCCGCACCAACCTGTCGTTCAATCCTTTCCCTGCCAAATCGGCCGTTGACGCTTGTTGTTGACACTGCTACTTGCTTCGCTCGTCTTGATCCCATCTCCTTCCGCCACCTCGTTGCTCCTCCTCCCATCACCGCAATCAGATCGGGAAAGACGAGAGAGAGGCAGCGGCGTCCGACGGGGTGAGAGAGAGATCGGAGAGGCGGCGGCGACGTCGCGTAGATGGCTTGCAGGGCGAGCGTGTCCGGACCGGGAAGGAGGTGAGAGCGAGACGCGATGGGTATGACCGTATGAGTGTGTTCGGCATATCTACCGAAGATGGTAGCGGAGCGGCGGAGCCAGGCGATGGTGGTCGTCACCTTACTCCAGCAGATGCCTGGACGGCGAGATCCACTGACCCCATGACCGACCACGAACCGGAGGAGGGCCGGGGCGTGGTAGCAGGCGACCGCTGCTGCTAGCGGAGAGCAGGAGACCCAGCATGCACTCAACGAGCTCCCACGACGCCTGGCGGGGCGCGGCCGCGTGGGGATGGTGATGGCGGCGGTGGCTGCTCGAGGCTGCGCAAAGAGAGCGCCTCTTCATCGAGGGGATCAAATGCGAGGCTGCGGGCTCGTAGGGATCGTGGAAGGAGCGCATGCGTCGTGGGGCTCGCGTGGACAAAACGGTGTAGGATCGATCGTGGGAAAAAAGGATCAGTTTTCGCGTACGTGGGCTGAGTGGCATGTTTTTTGGGCTGCTGCGATCGTGGCCCTCGCGTGACGCTGATGATTTTTCGTCAATCGCTGTCGTAGGTGGGAAGGAGGAGGTCGAACCATCACGACGTTCGATTCTCCTTTAATAGTAGAGATGTATGTATTG